GCCAATTGAAGAACAGTTATTTTCTCATCACCTATCTTCACACACAGTTGATGCAATATATGAATCTTGAGACCTGGAGTCCCTCACTTTTGACCCTTAGCCCCTGCACCCTTAGACCTGCCAGAGCCCCTCACTCTGACCTGCAGCCCCCTGGCTCCCCAGCACTGCTGCCCATGCAGCTCCCAACTGCCCCTGAAGAAGCTCCCTACCCCCCTTCCCCGCCTCCCTGCCCTGCTGCTGCCCCAGCACTGGCAGACAGGCACACATGCATGTATGCACGCACACACACTCACACACACACACCTGCCTGCAGCTGCCGGGGCCCACGCACAGACCACGTATCGCCCCAGCCTCCAATCACTTTTCCCTGCTGCCTCCAGCCCCGGCAAGCTGGCAAGTGCCAGGAAAGCAAAGGCAGAGCAAAATCCCAGATGTTTGCTTACATCTTAAAAAACTGCCTGGACAGAGATGGGAGGACCCAAAAAGAGGACACATCTATGAAAACCCAGATGTGTCGTAACTCTGCTCCTGTCTCTAAAATGCCAGCATGACCAAAGGAGGTCCTGCAGCTAGGCACTAGCTCTGCTTAGTACTGGACAGGGGAAAGAACTAAAGCAATAGTTCCCAATCTGTGGTACCGGTACCACCAGTGGTACACAGACAACCTGTCAGTAGTATGCGTTAACAGATTTATTATAATTACTTTATATGACAAAAATTTGCTGGTGGTACTTAAGGTTGAATTGAAAAAGTTGCTGGTGGTACTGAAGATTGTATCATTTTAAATTGGTGGTGTGCAGTCTGTCAGAGTTTGGAAACTGCTGAACTAGAGGCATGGACTGATTAAGCAATTATGCCACTATAAAGGGGAAGAATTCTCCCAGTCCACCTGAATTGCCTGAAATCATTTCCTATGTCTGATTGAACCCACAGTCTATTGAATAAATTACCACTTGTTTCATTATGGAGTAAATCACTGTGGTTTGTTTCACTTGTTGCAGGAAAGGCTCAGACAGACAAAACAATTACAAC